ATTAATACTATACTGTACAGGCATTACAAAAACATATATCCACCAGCTTCCTTTCCATATCAAAACAGTTAATTAACCCAATCCAAGTGTACTAACCTCAGAACAGACTACCTTTCACCAAGAGTGATGTTTGGTGTACCCTGTAATCAAAATACTTATCAACCTTCCCCATGATGTATGCATGTACACTCAGAAAAAAAAATTTCTTTCAGGGGGGGGGGGGGTCTGATGAATTTGGAACTGAACAATCCTATTGTTTCGCAAGGGTTGGTAGGGATGATTGCGAGACATTTCCTACATATTATGGTAGGCCTAATTTAGTTATTACATTCAAAATATAAAATTACTTAATTGAAATGATTGGTGAATAACAGTACAGTATGCCTCATGTGATAATGTTTTGTTTTGCACAAGAATTGTAAAGATACTTTTTTCCTCTACATGTCTGTAGAATAGTGTGTATTGGAGTGTGTGCATTTAAAAAGGCAATTATATTTTGTAAAAATATGTGCCTTTGCATGGGTGTCTATAGTTTGTTTTTATACTTAAGCAAAACTCCTTTATAATAGTATATGTTGCGATTGGGTCATAGCAAGTATGCAAGTCTGTCTGTCTGCCTATATGTGTGAAAATGTAATACAGCACCTGCAGTAGGTTTATTTAACAATGTGTAATTATGTTTGCATGAGTGCATGCGATGTTTGACAAATATCACTTAAGTTTGAAACGATCACCAGGAAATGGATGTGCTGCACCCTTGTGGCAAGAGCATGATTTGCTTAGTGAGCGGTAGTGACGCCACCTATCGCAGGTAAACAAAGCTTCAGCTGAGTCACACATGGTAACAGCCGTTGAGCAGACCTCTTTGATTTCTTCAGATTTGTATCATATTACTGTATATGGAAGTAATGCGCACCATTATAGCAAAACTTTTAGAAGAAGTGTATGTTCGTTGTCAAGTGTATATTTCAGTGATATATTTATGATTTTTTTTCCAAATGAATGTTGAAATGGGGCATTTTAGTGCCCAAATGACAATTTCAGAGCACCAGCAGAAGAATCCAAATACAAGCCAAAAGCTTTAATTCACTGTCTTATGTACAGAACCATAAATGTCACGGTAAGTGTAGCTCATTGAATTGCGTTTCAATTAGCTTATTATTTCTCCATAAATACTAATTCTTTCTGTGTTTCTAACCATCTACAGTATATCTATTATACAGTATACACTATCAACTATTATACTATACATAAATCATTTAAATGTTTACAGTGTAATCACTGAATCTTAAGTACATATATGTTAAGGTAAGAGACGATGACTGAAATATTTTTCATTTATGCAATGTTTTCTTCATCATAGTACAGTACATTACTTACTGCATTAACATACAGTACTGTATAGGATATTTAAAGAGATTTAAATAAAAAGGAACATATATGCGGAAATGCGTTCCTAGACCCCTCGTGGTAACCCGTGTTTCCAAATGGCAACATCCCAGTAATAGTATCAGTTTATGAATGAATGGGTATTGGTCATGCAATGACGGATGTGATTGGCAGATAGGTTTGCTATAAGTCATATATGTTGGCTGTTTGGAGACACAGGTTACTGCAGGGAGTGTAGGAACACACTTCTGCAACTGTACCTGTAGTAACAAATTTTTAGATTCTTGGCCATTTTTAGAATATACAGAGTATCCCACAAAAATATTCTGGGATTAGTGTACTGTACTTTATAACTAAATTTTTCCTTTGTATTGAGCTAAATCTAAAAAATATAAAAATAGGATTTCTTGTATTTTAAACTGGTGATTTTGTAGGGCACATACGACCATGTGCATTGGGTCTGAACATCTATTAAACACACTTCAATGTTCTGTTTTTCCAGTCCATGTTCAATTCCATGACGGCCCTAGTTAATGGCAGACTTGTGGTGCCAAGGTTTCAAACCTGCAAATTTTAAGGTTGAATTTTGTTTGACCTTGGTCAACCTAGGTGCACTCAACAGACATTAAACCCTCGGGGCAACACCTACTTGATGGGTGTCTGGTCTGACAGGACCTTAGTAGGTGCTACTTTAATTTGACATTACTGTACTAGGTTCACACCTCAGGACTGTGTGGCCACAGGGAGCTTAAGCTCATTCCTTTCTTTTCTACCCAAGAACTGGCTTTAGATTAATTTTGTAGGACTGACTCAACTGGAGGAGCCAGTTGAGCATAGTATTTAAGGGCTCATTAGTACCTCTGACCTCTTTTCAAGCTGGCTTTAATGTAGTGACTTGCTCGAATCCAATTACGGTGGTCCCTCGGTTAACGAACACAATTCGTTCCAGGAGGTCGTTCGTTAACCAAAAATTTTGTTAACCGAAACCATTGTTTCAATGGGATATTGGGTAACTGGTTCCAGCTCACAGAAAAGTATATACAAAGTAAAGCCAGAATATAATTTACATTGCTGGAATTCTTATAAAATAGTGATTAATTTGAATATAAACAAGCTAAAATTTGCACTAGACATACAAATTTTAGATCTAATTTAAGAATTTTATTAGGGAGAGCAAAAATTTTATCTTTTGTGCAAAATATATGAAGTTTATATTCAAAATATTCCCTGTCTTGCAAGGATTTCAGCAATGCAAATTATATTATCCTAACTTTAGTCTGAGGTATTATTTATTTTTAAACCTGTAAACCTAGTCCTTTTCCCCAAACGTTTCTCAGGAAGGTAGGGGGTAGAGAGGGAGGGAGGGGTGACAGTGACATGTTTGACAGTTGGTGCCTGTGGTGTGATTTAATTGTTAGTTTATTTTTTTTCTTTTAGATTGAGTTTTTGTTTTTTGCTTACAAAATTTAATAGAAGTGACTGGGGTGAATATAATTTGCATTGCTGGAATTCTTATAAGATATTGATTAGTTTGAATGTAAACATAGAAGAGATCACTGAATTCGCCGAGTACCTCCTCAGCTTATCAGCTGATGTTCAAAACAAAATGTGATTTTCATAAGGATTTCGTTAATTGAATTTTTTTTCGCTAACCGAATTGAAGATTCTTATGGAAGGTAAATCGTTAACCGAAATTTCGTTAACTGAGGCGTTCGTTAACCGAGGGACCACTGTAATGTCTCTGAATGTTGGACTAATCCGGAGATCCCACTTTCTAAGAATAAAGATTAAATAACTTAGTATGACTCCTCCTCTTTTGGGTATTGCAGTAACCTAGTCATCCTATGGCCAAAGTTGAACTAAAGTGGATGAGAGCAAAAGCATGTTTATGCTAATAGCAAAAACTCTCCAACCTTCTCACCATTTACAGTATGTACCTCTATGTCAAGAGTTATCTTACGGGTGTCTGGTATCAAGGAGATGGATAATCCACTGTCTAATTGCTTCATTTTTACATCCCAGTCATTTAAGCTGGGCCCTGGAACCAGATCTCAATCCCTAGACTTACTAGCTACACAAATCTAAATTTACTAGATGGAGTTATCAATCCCAATGAATGGTTAAATAATTAAAAATTGTCAGTCTGTAAATAGCCAGCAAAACCTCAGGATCCTTCCAATTTTCCAAATTTCATACATCAAAATACAAAAGCACCAAAAATTTTATAAAGGCCTAAAGTAGATCATTACTGCAAGCCCAGTGATCCAATTGCTGACTATCAACCAATCTATAAAATGTATACTGCACTTCCTGGCAAACATCTTTGACAGATGAATAACCAGAGTAGGTGAACCACAATTCCTAACTTCTAATTTCATTTCTGAGTTACATTAACCTCTGAGGCAACTCAACAAATTTACACCCAAATACAGTACATACACCTTAAATAAATTGCAGGTGGACTATAACTTATTTTTTAGTATGAAAATTGGAATGGACCTAGATAACAGCCATAAACCAGGAGGTGCTACAAGCCATTGTCATTGCCATGGGAAAGTGGCCAGAGTTGAAAGAAGTTGGCAAAAATGGAATGGCCAGAAGTCATGTATTTTATAACTGGGTATTGTAATAATGGCAATACTTGATTATATTTGTCACAACTTAAAAGCAGAAGTTGAATTCAAACTATGCTTGATGACAAGTAAAATGTCAGAGTTTCAAGAGCCAAAATATTTGGAAGATTTATTATCTCTGACTGCTGGCTCTATTGCAGGTGTGGCAATGATTAGTGTGTCTTGAACTTGGGACTGTGTGTGTGAATGTTTTATGGCTTAATGTTTTCTTGTACAGCACCTTGATCATACAGTTGGTCACCTATTTACCTGAAGCAGCTGGACTCAGTTGAGACTTTCAAAGAGCATGTTAAAGTTCTTTTTGAAATAGCTGTTGCTGGTCTAGTTGTTAAGCTAAAACATCAACATTTTCATATTCTGTACCGAGTACATTACTTAAATGAATTGGCACCTTTAATTTGAACCGAATGCAAATCAATTACAGATATAGCAGGGAAAATTAATAAATAGGCCTAATTATTCAGTTCAGGACAGTGTGTGTATTAAGATATTAAGAGCATAGGCAAAGGTTTGAACAGAGGTGTAGGCTGAGAAGGTTTGGGCATATGAAGAGAATGTAGGACACTACTGCATTTGGGTCAGGATATGCATGAGTTTGAATGTGAAGGGGAGAAGAGCTAGGAGCAGGCCAAGAATGACATGAGGAGAGGTTATGGGAAATGACCTCCAAGATAAGAATCTGACAAGAGAAGCTGTAAGAGACCAGACAACTTGAAGAGTTGCCATCTGGTAATCACTGCTAACTCCCACAAGCAAGGAAAATGACTACAAAATGGTGAAGTGATGATAAGATTCTGTGGCAAAATTGTTGTGTATACAGTATTTAGAAACAATGTTTAACGCAATCATTTAGTGATTGGGTAAATTCTTTTATCTAAATTCTGTTAATGTCTATGAGCTGCTGGGTATGTCTAACTTTTTACTGTATCCTCCTCAAACTATTTATTGTAACTACCAATACATTGATATTTTTCTTACCTTGACCTTGACGACTTTAACAACCTTGTGAACCTTGGCCTCACAAAAGGCGCCTTTATATTTGGCAGATACTTCTGTTCCCACAGTCAGAAAAGGAGGATCCTCAGGCTGGAATAAAGGAAATTGCATGTGAGGTCAAGGCTTAATGTAGACTTCTTTCAATAGAGATATCTTAGGTTGATAATTTGTTATGTATAAAACTATTGCCGAGATCTATGAAAAAATATAAATTTTGATAAATTATTTTTTATTGGCATGTGGTTGTCATGTTCTGCAGTATTAACTCTTTCAATAACAAGAATATTATAGTAATGATAATGTGAAAATGTAATTTATAACGAAACTGTGCCGTGTTGAAATTCATTTAGTATAACTGAGTGCAGATGTGCATATCCCGGTAGTAAAAGCCAAACTTGTTAGAAGTTAATTACCTGTGGCAACCACATCTCAACGAGGGTGCAAGACCACACACAACCTAATGGCTGTGGCCCTGCGCATCAAGCTGCAAATTATGTTTGTGAAGAAATCGTGTTCTCCTTGCGATCGTAACAGAGCTGAAGTTCACTGTATCAAGGATCAATAGAAAATATGGAGTAAAAATAAGGATTCAGTTTTCAGAGTTGATAAAAAATCTCATTTCTGCTATTCATACAGTATCTCTATTAATCATATTGCTTGCCACTAATGTGAAAAAGCGACATTAAAAAAGATGAATAACAATGTTATACATTACTTCAAATCATATAAATATTAACTTTAATCAATATTTAATCGACACACCGTACAGTAAAGTATCTGTCAACCAAAAAGGTAGGGACCAAGAGGCTTCCTTGAAAATTACTACTGTACTGTACAGTACAATAATTATACGTAAAATGGATATTATCTTGAACATATGTCAGCTTGGTTAGATTACATTATTAGTTTTTGCAAATACAGTAGTAGCTGCACACCAACTTACTTTGTTACAATTTGTCACCATTCTCCCAAAATCACCACAACTTACTCCTCATATTCACACGAAGAAAAGTACAGTAGACTCTTAACTCACACCACCATGCACACAGTCACCGAGCCAGTTGTAGGATTGTCCAATTTCTCCTCATTTACACTCAATACTGTATATGGCAAATTAAATAAAACAAAATATTCTATAATCTTAAATTTCATATTTAAATGGTCAAATCTTTTATAAAATATAGATTATTTTTAAAGTAGATTATCGGTTAACAGATACTTCATTGTACAGTACAGTACAGATACTTGAAAATTAATTTAAGTACAGAATGCCTAAGACCCTTGGTCACTAGGAAAAGGTCAAGCTGAACTGTACTACTGCTGTAGTACAGTAGATATAAACAAAATATACATATACAGTACAGTTTATAATAAATACAAATATCAGTTACAGGGTATATAACTTATTTAATCATATGGATAGTGTATTTTAAGGAAATTATAAAATTACCTTTCAGTAATGGCTTTAACAGAGTATTATTGTAGTCATGTTTTATAAGTACAGTACCTTGTATAAGACATCGAATACTGTACAGTATGTTCAATCAAAAAAAAACATGTTACTATAAAAATTCCTTATTACACACAGCAAGCTTTGAGTTTAAAATAAACATAAGAACCATGAAAAAAAATTCGGAGCATTGAAAAATACAAGATCACTGCATGTTGATCATACTATACAGTAAAGTAATGGAAGTCAGGTGATGACAACACATGCATATTACAGAACATTGAAAGATACTAGATCACTGCATGTTGATCATACTATACGTTAAAGTAGTGGAAGTCAATTGATGACAACACATGCCTCACTATTTTGTGCCAGAACAAATCATCTACCCTCCTGCAGTGCCAGAATTGCAAGTTACTGACACTGGTCATGTGATATACCATGATGACTTCTTAGTTAGTCTTTGTTATCTTGTGTTGCCAGAGCTTCTTGATCTTAACAAAAAATTACTCTAGACAAAAACATTCATTACTAGGAGGTACCGCATTTGCCGGCATATAAGATGCACCACCGCATAAGACGCACCCCTATTTTACAAGGATATTTTGTGGGAAATATTTTTTTTTAGTATGTTTCGTCATACAATTACTGAAAGTGATTTTAAAGTGGTTTTGTAGGGGAAAACATGGTTTTGTGAATGTAAATACAATATATACTGGAATCAAGTAGAAAATCATATATAGTAACATTATACTAACCCAACTCTACCTCTGATCAGAGCAGCTGTGTGGCTTGTTTATATTTTGGTCAAGAGAAATACTTACAGGATGTGAAACTCGCATTTTTAGCTGTGATGTTTTGTGTTGCCGCGATCGGCCACCAGGGTGTAGCACCATCTCTATTGTTTTGGCGTCATCGACTCATTGCAAATGGCTGACTGGCGGCTGAACTTTCTGTTAACATTTCTTTAATCTTTCTAGGGGCATTTTTCATTTAGATAATAAACAAATGTTTCATAAAGGTAATACAGTCTTTAAATAATATAAGACATGTATCTGGTGTGGGTTACTTATGCTGGGGAAGGAGGTACAGTGAGATGTTGTGAGCTTCCCTCTGCCTTTAAGCCATTATTTACGTCTTCAGCAAATTTGCTGTAAGTTTGTGATAATTTGGCTTGTTTTTCGGTACAAGTATTTTATTATTAGACTCCCTAGCTAGGCACCTCCGCCTTCCATCAGTAATACGGGCGCATTAGACGCAGGGTAATTTGTGATACATGGAGAAAAAAATAAAGAAAAAAATGCATTTTATACGCTGGCAAATAAGGTAATTACTCTTACATACTGTACTATAGCTAAAATTAGAGTACCATACAGTAACCTTCACTTGGCACACTTTCATTTCGGTACAGTTTTCAAATTATGTAGCTACCCTTTTCAATTAGTGCATCCAGTTGCTACAGCAATTTTTTATTTAACATGATTTTGTAACAAAATGGTACAAGGTACTGTACAGTACAGTACTCTCCTAAGTGGCTGTGCAAGCAAGAGACGCAACTTACGCTTGGTTTGTTTCATGATTACAGTGCGGGAGCGTTCTTCGGTGCAAATAACAATACGTATAGCACACAACACGTTAGCCAGCTCTAATACTCATACAAGTACCATTTCCATTGGAGAAACAACACACTTGGATTACCAGGTACAGTTGCAGAAATGTGTTCCTTCTACCCTCTGTGGTAACCTGTCAATAAACAGCCAACCTATATGACCTATAGCAAACAGTATCCACCAATCACGTCCATCGTGATTGGTTCCATTTTGTTTAATACATTAATTGTACCAATTTCAATGTGAATATTACTTTACAATACTGGTATACCACTTATTCATATCCAGCCTGGATAATTCACGATTTTTTTTTGCAGTCCTTTATTATTCGCAGATGACACCCTGGATGTACCCTAGAATGTCTGCGGGTAGTTTTAAAGTTGCCGGCATTTTCGCAGCCGGGACAGGGAGCCATTCGTACTAGAGACAGTAATTTCCTGTACCTGTATTGTATACAGTATATGTGTGTGTGTGTGTGTAGATACACAAACACATATATATACAACACAGGTAAATGAAATAATTGTCCCAAGGGAAAACACATAGAGGAAGTACTGTATACATTTCTTTGTATACAGGTAAAAATACCCCTCCCCTGGTCAGCAAACGTTATTCACGGATTTGGCGATTTGCGGCCATTTTGAGGACCTAACCCCCACAAATTTGAAGGGCATGCTGTATAAATTACTAACTGCTGAATGTAAACACCAGTTTCTGATAAATACCGTAGCTGATTAATATACAAAATAAATTAAACCCCAATCAAGAATGCTGAACGAGTTAACGTCATTTCCTCCAAATGCTAAGGAGAAGGCATAATTTTGAGGTAAACCTAACTGAACTGATATTGCTAATTTGATGTTTGAAAATGTAATTTATAAGTACTAATGTAAAACTCTTCAAAAGTCTGTACATGGGTAGCTATATTTATTTCTTTTATCATAATGCATTCCCCTTCATTACATGCATTTCTATGTTTGTTTAACAGTGTTTTTCAGAAAATAATTAACAAAGCCAAATGAGGGCTAACCATCTTTCTTGAATTTTAGCACAGTCCAGTCCACCCAACCTGTGATTCACCAACCCACAGCCCAAGTATGCAGGGCTGTCTTAACAGCATTGTAGGCCCTGGGCAAATCAATGTCCTGGGGCCCCTACCCACCCAACCACTCAAATGAAAACTAAAACTTTCAGTAATATTAAACACATAATCAATTGGTACGTTCAATAACCCTTTTTTTTATTATTGACTTGAATACGTTAAAAATAAAAAAATAAATAAAAAAAAATTGTCTCCAAAAAATGAATGTTCCAAAAATGGAACATTGGTCGATTATGATTACAGTATACTAAACGTAATTTAATGTACTGTTTTATAATAATGAACAGTAATAAAGGTATAATTTCATTAGAATAATTATTTATTTTATCTATACGATAAACTGATTGAAAAAATACAAACAGGCAAATTAACCCACTGGGACAGTGAAAAATAAATTTTCTTAAAAAAACTTTGAATTGGCCCAAAATAAAATTTAAAGTATATACTGGACCACTATAAAAAAAATTTCTTGGTTCCTATTAAAAGTTAATTCACTCCTGAATATATTTGCCAGATTAATATTTAATCGATAATCAGACAAAAATCGATCTAAGAGATCAATTCCGTCCATGTATTGGTTCTCAAATATAATTAGCGGAAAAATTTGATCAAAATAATATCGAAATAGTTTGCAAGGTGATAAATTTACCAAATCCGGATGCACCGTTCCCAAAAGCGATGGTGATTTGTTCTGTAATAGTTTAGTAAATTTCCTATCTTTCTTCCAATGGATACAAGGTTCTTCAAATTTTCTACATTTTAAATCTAGATTATCCTCCGAGATTCGGTGGCAGACTTCGACAGGCCCAGCAGCCTCATGTACTTCATTAGGTGCATCACCAACTTCGTCATTAATTTAGTAGTGGCATGCTCTATTCACGGGCCCCCTAAAATCATGGGTCCCTGGGTAACTGCCCAGCATGCCCAT